AGACAATCCAGTGATTGACATCATGAGCATCGATCAACGCAATTGAGATCGATGACATGCATCAACCAAGTCAGCGAGCCTGACCACCTGATCCAGTTATTCGCCTTTTACGACAAGCAGTCTCCTTTTACGGCAAGCATGGGTTGCTGAAGACCTATTCTACCCCGGATCTTCACGGGCAGCTTGGATCAATGTATACTCCCCGAGCTGAGAATGAAAATTCGAGTGCCAACTGATCCAGTGACTAGGGTAATAACATGTAGCTATGGGCAACAACTCCATAAGTTACAGGACTTGAGAAAACTAAATATGTGAACAAAATATACTCACCACCAAAAGAAAGGCGAACCATAGAAACATAGAGAGAAGTATGAACGTTAAGAAGAGATGTTTCCAATGTGTACCAATTAACGACATAAACTAACAATAAGTCAAGTGTTACCACACAGTGTCTTTATTCTTATCACAATATGCTGCACCTGATTTACAAACTTCATACACTAATCCTGCACAAGACAAACGGTGCATATTGAGTCATGGATGTATGGCGTTACATGTGATGCGTTTATGAGCGTCGGTTCACACAACATACCAGTATGTTCATTTGTGAATCAAACCAATCTATATCTCTTGAATATGAGTAATTCATATATTAACCAACTTGTATGGTATTCACATTTCTTTTGTCAGTGAGTATATATATATATATATCTGAAAGAAGCCCAGGCCACAGTTTCCCAATATTGCCAGTTTGGTATTCTTATCACGACATGTACGCGTGACATTTCTCAGTTAGAACATGTCACAAGTTGAACATAAAGGGTCTCAAGAAAAGATTAAACTGCAGATAACAAGATACACTGTCAAACAACTCAGTACATTTCAAATAAAACACTCACACAGCGATAGAAACTAACCTTTTTAGTCCACGAGTCTTTATAATGATAACAAATACCTGGTAGCAAAACCCTTAAACATGGCAAATGTCTACTGGTCCTTGTGATACCTTAATTAGTGGGTAGCTCGGCAAGGAATACAGGACCAGTGCCAGTTTCCAACACCCTCACAAATAGACTTTATTCAGCAGACAAATGGCCAGAAGTAGCCTGAAGTGTTGCTACAAACAATAAAGAAATTCTTATTCCTAAAAAAGTCATGTTTTTGTGTTCCTCCAGCTTCTAAATGCTAAGCTAGTGTTTACAAATAAATAGTTTTGTTATAAATGGAGAAAAGGAACATAAATGCAGGAATAATCAATTATAAAACTTCAACAATATTTTCAAGGGGTATATTTTGTATATTTTAATTTTTAGAAATAATCCTTCCAAGTTATGTCAGAGAGTTGGGGTGGATGTGCTGGTATTTCTTGAGAAAAAAAGTTATTTGTTCCTCTAAAATGAAATGATCCTATGTTTTACCAAAATGTTTTCACTGGATATACTGGATGTAAACAAATATGTTTTGTAAATCACTGACCCCAACTATGCCTTATGAGATGTAATGGCCAGTCCGTAACGTAATAGAAGAGGAGAAGAAGACCTTCCTGGATGAGGTGAGGTGAAATTGGGTTTAACGTCGCGTCCAAGATTATTGCACTTATATAGCGACGTGCATGCACGTGTATGTGTGTGTGTGGCTGCTTGTACTAGTCCGGACTGATGCCGATTTATAGTGCTAGCTCACTGAGATACCATGCCGCAGTTTAACATGAATACCCCACTCAGACACAGTATACTGACTCCGAGCCGACCAGTCCTTGTTTTAGCCCCTTAATGCCGAGCGCCAGACAGGGTAACAACAAGTACAATCTTTTAACGTCTTTTTGTATGACGCGGCCCGGGATTGAACCCTGGACCTTCCGCTCTCCGGGCGGACGCTCTACCACTAGACCACGGAGGCGGTCCCTTCCTGGATGAAATGAACCAGGTGTAACAGTGTTAATGAGTCAGGTTGTGATGAAAACCTTACAAACATCACAGAGGAAGGAGCAGGGCAGTGAACATGGTTTGTGTGACAAAGTTACTTTTGCAAAGTCGGCAAAATTTTTGCAACTGTTTTTTGTTTATAATGTATTTAGGCTAGAATCTGTGGGCTAAATGACACAAAGAGGCTGTTGGGTATGATTACACACTAGGGCAGCCAGACCAAAGCACAGACAATTCCCACATTCATTGGGACCAACTTTTGAAACATAATGAGACTCAGGCAGTGCAATGTTATGATTGGTACAACTGTAAGTAACACATTTACATCACTGTTAGGGGCCATTTTGGAATGCAGGCCTGTGACTTGTTGAAAAATGTAATCTGTTCCTGAACATACTGGTAAAGAAATAACTTTTCCTCAAGTTATAAAAGTAAATATATGACATATGTATTTGGCATGCTGGATGATTAGAAAAATAGTGTTGGGGATAAAAACTTGTTGCCTCCTTCTTTCAGAGAACCCAGAGGGAATTCCGGGTTAGAATTGGTCGCCATCAAACTGTGCTGGTCATAAGAGGTGGTCAGGCTCAGTGACTAGGTTGATTAGGTGTCAGTTTACCCTGACCTCTTGGACCCTTGCTCACAATATTGATCACTGGATTGTGTGGTCCAGACTTAATTATTTAGAGACTGCCATCATATAGCTGTATTATTTCTGAATGCAGCGTTAAACAACAAACAAACCCAAACCAAAATATCTACTGTACTCTTAACCCAACTGAGCACACAACCAACTCCTTCTCTGGTGACAGTTGTTCTTCCTCTAGCCTCCAGGTCATATGTCACTGGGACTAATTGTCCTGCAAGCTTGGTGAAGGTACACCGAATGTCATCAATTATCTTCCATTCAGTTCATCACACATTGCCTCTGGCTGTTGTCAATCTCTACTATCATCTCATCTGTTTCCTCTGATAAAGTGTCTCTGAATGGTTGTGAGTATTTACAGCTTATATACTTCATATGTACTGCACAAAACAAGTTAAAGAATACCGGATTCTTTCACATTACTATAGTTAATCTGTCATGCCATGACATGTGTCCTTTAACATATTTTGTGTAGTATACATTGTACTTAATTAGGGTTTTACTTCACAAAACCAACTGACATAAAAAAAATTGAAATTAAAAAGAAAACAGACTTTGGATGAATACTTTCAGTGTTGACAATTTTACAATTTCTGTTGTACAAATGTCCCATGTAAGTGATGGAAGAAGAATAAGGCCACTGATATTGTGCTATTTCTCTTTCTACACTTCCAAACCACACAGGGGCATGCTCAAAGCGCTACACAGTATTATTATCCTGGTCGATGGATCAGTGTGAACTTCATTCTACAGCTCCCTAGGTAGTATATAATTATAGCTGTTAAGAGGATGATACCACCCTTGTCCACAAGGTGATGGCTTCTCAAACTAAATTATAACCAACAGTCCAAGCCCTGCTGGAGTCTCCATGAGTATGTATGGTTTTTAGCAGTAGTCCAGCAATATCATGGCGGGGGACACCGGCAAATGGGCTTCACACATTGTACCTGGAGTCTCCATAAAGCTTGTGGGTGTCTGATGGAGTCTGCTGAAGCCTATATAACATGAAACGCCAACCACCTTCAATGATATAAGTCAGGTAAGTTCAAGAAAATTCACAAATTTTATGTTTGCTTTGGACCTTTGTGTGATTGAAAACATCAGGATATTTTTATGTAGTAATGTGTAGTTTTCTATCAGGAATAAATGTGCAAAATATTTCTTCAATTGGCCTAAAATGTGTAATTAAGCAATGACTGCTGGAAATTGTCCACCCTCCCTAATCTCTACAGAGCCGGATGCTAACAGAATTCAGCAGGCCAAAGGTTAATGTCCTTTCACAGATGCTACCCCACCCCCCCCCCCCACCCCCACCCCACCCCAAATCACCCCCTTCCCTCTCACCCCCCTTATTTTCCCTATCTTCATTGTCTTGCACTTCTTTGATACCATGTGTTTCTAAATGGGTTATGCATTAACAAAAAGATAGCAGCCTTACAAACTGTTCACTGTCATTTAACAAACACATGCTTATCTTCACGTTTTCCATGGTTACCACAAGAAGATAAGCGTAATCTGCTTATCGTTTGCTCCGTTGTCTGTCGTACAGATTACACAACCCACACCTGATCCTTTTCAAGATTAACACAAAACCTATACTTCCACTTCATGGAACTAACAATTTAAACCAACTTCACAAAATATGAAAAGAGAGGAAAGTCAACAGGTGCTTGTCGTAGCCTTGATGTTTATAGAGAATGATGGCCCCTAGATTCAAATACCATAGGAACAGAGTTGACTTCCAGGACCCAGGGCCCCCCTGAATCTGGAGCTCAGGTCTGAATTCATTGTCTGACCACTCCTTGACAAATTATAGATCATCTTTTTACATCCAAATACTTTTTTTAATGTTGACTCAAGATTGAGGAATGATTGATATATTTCTGACATTTACCCAAATGAACACATTTCCTTCTTCCTAATACACATCTGCTTTTGTAGAAAACAACACTAAGTTACAGAAATATAATAAATCCATTCCCATTGTTAAAAGCCTAAACAAAGCCTAAACAAAGCCTAAAACTATTACAAAAATAAACATTCCATAACAACAATAATCAACATATGAACAAATTGTGCCTATCTAATTAATATACAATTATCATGTTCAGTATTCAACATAACCTTAGACATTTCTAGTCGTAATATGAACCTATTTGTCAACCCAATCCGTTCCCAATCTCTTAAATCCCTTGAAATACAACACTTCAATATGGATGTCTATTGCATGTCAATCATGGTAAATGTGATGTCCATGTTGTGTCAATTTCACCATCTCAATCAAATTCATGTTCAGCAAGCCATATTGGCAACAGCAAATGTTTCTGATTCACAGTGTCAGAGCAGGGAAATCTTTACAATGCCCCTGTAAAACATGCCCCAAGCAGTCAAGCATTTAATCCAGGGATATGAGTGGTTGTTATTTATAGCCAGACAGGCTTGTACCTCTGATGACGCCACACAGCCCTGTCAGAGAGGGGACGTACAGGATACAGGTGTTTGCTCTCTAACTCCGTGACAAACATGGGATCCGCAATCATTACCTGTGTGGAAATTTTACTTTTTGTTGTCTTTTGCACAGGTGAGTCGATATTAATTTGTTGTATTATTTTGATTTCTGTGTAGGTGATTTTAGTATTGTTTTCTCTTTAAGTAAAACCTGAACATAAGCATTGATTGCTTGTCTATAGTATCCTTTCTTACCCTTCGTACAAAGTGGAGAGGATCAATACTCTCTGTCTGTTGGGAATTTATTGTGATCTATTTTTGCCAAGCTCATTCCCTTATTATCTTGATAAGCAAATACTGTGGAAGCAATCTTATTACAGATCTATGAACTGTTATGCAGTACAATACATACAGAATTTCAACTCATGAAACTTAAAAATAGAATTTAAAAATTAATAATATGAAAATCTCTATTAGTGTTGAAATTATTTTTGAATTACATCATCACTCTTATACATAGATGTCTTAACCGATCAATCATTGATCAAAATCAAGAACTTAATATTCTTATATCTAGATTGACATGTACAAATATTTAGCATAACTGAAAGTTAAAAATCTTAATAAAAAATTAAAACACATGTGTTTTCTGTAAACTGCGAAGTTTTAGAAATAGATTTGCATTTGTGTAATCTATAATTGCTCATTGATAATCTTTGGCTGCACTTAGTCATATGGTTATGATCAGATATTATATCGCCTATGTTATTTTTCTTTAAAACATAACTGGTGAACACAAAGTCCTAAAAATATAAATCAGTATATCATGAAATATCAACATCTTAAAAAGTCAAAACTAATTATTTAAATAACAACTAAAAATGGAAACAAATGATTAATGATTAAAGTTTGTTCCAATTTCAACAAGGGTAGAAAGACAATCCTACTACTGTGCTATCTAAACTGACAATGCCTCTTTGAAACCTAGTTAATGAGAACATGGCATGCATAGTAGACTTTGTGAGTTATAGACATATGAAAGAAACACCTCAAGGCATGTCGCTATTCACACGTAAGTCAGCTGTCATGAGAACGTTCATGTATATATCTCAATGTCACCTCGAAGGGGAAACTTACCAACGACATCAAGTGTCATCGTGATTATATGGTCCCGTATATCATCCTCCACAAGGGTCATTCCGTATAATTAGAGGGCATACTAAAACTTTCAGTGTTCCTGAAGTAGTTTTCCAGTGCAGTGATAACACCTTATCCGTCCATGTTGTTCACTTTCAAATATTATACAAATGTCCGAAGAAAACAACAATGATAAAAAATCATATTATTTTTCTGTTTTCAATAAAAAAAGTTTCAAGATATATGTTAAAGAATAATTCTTAAATATGTGTACTATCTTTCAAACTAAATGTACCCACAGAAAATAAATTAATTTTGTGTCTGCAAAATAATAGAGTTGAACAGAATTCCATAACTGAATTCAATAATAGACAATATCACATTATCTTAAATCTTAAGTTACAAAGTTCATGAAATAGATCTCAAAGTGTTACGAAATAATTTCAGTTGCAATATCATAAGAGGGAAATTGTAAGAATTTACCAAGCTCCAACACAATAATCCCTACTATGCATAGTTACAGAAAGTCAACTATTTCATACAATTAGCTCAAGGACACCAACAAGACTATCCAAAACATATTTACGTATAGTCCTTACACCAACCCACTCTGCCAACACACAGTTATGTATAGTCCTTAGACCAACCCACTCTGCCTTTCAGGTTAAAGAAATTCAATCTTAACTTACGGCAACTTCTTTCAAGTAGTCGCAATTGTAAGCATGTCAACTGCCAAGATCGTTCATTCACACGAATACTTCAGGCAACTGATTTCTTGCGGTCTTGTTTGCAACATGCTACTTTCATTGTGACTTTGTTGAATTCAATTTGCATGTGTCTGTTCAGGGATGACAACATTCATGGCCTATTTAAAGTCTCTGTCCACTAAGTTCAAGGTCATGTAATTCCAACATTGTGAATTATTCAACTCACTAACACATATGAAAATGTGGTACGCTTGTGCCCTTTCAATTCATGGATTTAGGCTCAAGATTCCAATCATTGGAAGGGAGATAGCGCTATTGTTACTGGCTTTAATAGAACATACAAATTTCAACAAATGGTAAATGTCTATAACTTGACTTTCATCCCTCATCAAGCATCCCTCATCAAGCAGACACACAATGATATAACTGAAATAATGTTATAGTCTCACTCACTTACTCAATCACTCACTTACTCACTAACTGAGTTAAAATGTTTATACATATAAAAACTCAATAACTCACTCACTTGCTGAGCAAAAAATGTTAAAAAATCTGAAACCCCCCAAAAAGAAGCTCACACTAGTTATCATGAAAAACACAGAAAATACAAGCAATTTTACTTTTTGGACGACGCACAAGCAGTCACAAGCCTACGTTTCTCTGAAAACTTGACATCCCAAGACGTGAAGAGAATGTTACGTGGCCCCTCCCAGGAGGAAGTCCATCCATTGTCTCCCTTCAACTTGACATAATGTACTCCTAGGAACATCTGACTCTGAATTTGTGATAAGTTGTCGTGTCATTTCCCGGAAAAATATGATAACTTGTCATGTTGAATGCTTTCTCCTTTGCCTTAACATTCAACTTCCGTTTGGCCTGCTATAAAAACCCAGCAAACTACTTTTGTCTAAAGCATAAATAAATATGAAGAAATGTCCATTCATTTTAATCTAGATGTTCTTTTTTTCTCTGAATATGTGTATGTGTGTTTCCTTGACGCAACACTCGCAATATTGGAGCTATATGATTGCGGCCTGTAAATAATCGGATCTAGACCAGACAATACAATGATCGATATCATGAGCAACAAGCCACGCCATCAGGTTCATTCACTACCTGATCACTTGATCCATTAAGACGCTTCTTACGACCAGCATAGGTTGCTGCGATCAGTTCTAACCTGATGTCCCCATGGTCTTATAGGAACCAATGATCATGGGTTTGAATCCCATATTTTAATATTTATGACTTTAGCATTAAACAACTTACAACCTTTAATAGTCTGTTATCTACAGGACTGGGCTGTCTTTGCCATTTATAGATTTCAAGGACCAAATAATAGGAGCAACCATCTCAACATATCATCACAAAACACCATAATCAAAGCGGAAAGTATTAGCATGTTTTTCAGAAAATTGATAAATTACACCAAAATAATTCTTTTGAAGAAGACTTGATATCTGTTCTATCATTGGACACATAATCCCTTAAATGGATGAAGCGAAAATTACTTTAAAGTGAGTGACATATATCAAAGGGGTGTCTATTAATCATGTCAAGAATCTTCCTCCTGGTTTTCGAGTGATTCCAATCACTCATGACATGAGTCAACACGGAGGTCTCCTTCCAGCAAGACACCACAAGATTAAAGATCAATTTCACGTAGTTCATACCTAATAGATGGTATATATCTCCAGGCAATTGATGAATATCTGCCACTCAAACACAATTGACATTTTAATAACTAAATTAGCCAATCACCTCATTAAATCGCAGTCTGTTTATAGACTTGCAAAGCTTTTAGGTGTCAGGCAGGGCTGTACTGCAGGTCCCTATCTCTTCATATCAACCAACAAGAAAAACACATTTGTTCATTTCACATCGGCTCAACATAATTCGTACATAATTTAGCCCCATGAGCATGCACAGAGTGGAATCTGGCACTCATGAAACAATCTAAAGTCATGGTTTGTGATAATGCATCGTCCAAACTGGTTTGGGTGAGATCACATGGCTGAGATCAAGCAATGTCTATTAGGAGATATCGCTAAGCAAAAGCTTTAACCTCTTGTTGACTCGTGTTGATATATATTTTAGTATTTCAAAAGACACTCGGGTGAGATTCTCTGTATCACTTGTTCAGAAAGATAGAAGTATGTGCCTAAATGTGATTTTTTTAAACAATATTTATTTCCACATAAATACAGTGAAAGGGGATTGACAAACACTAAAAGCCTACATAAATATCTCTGCCCTTCAAGTTCAAACAAGCAGAGTGGGAATTTTGTTTGTATTTATGACACCATTTGCGAAGTTAAATATGAGTCATGAAATCAGGTTATACTGACTACAAAAAGACAAGACCACAAAGTTATCAGCAAAAAACCTGTCATGAAGTTGGACAAGCACATATTTGTAGATACTACTCTGAGACCATTATTAAAGATGGACGACAGGGGGTAAAAGCTGAACCAGGGCCAAGGACATGGTGAATGTTACTAGGGCTGGGACGAGTCCAAATTTACTACCCGAGTACCCACCACCCTATTACCCGACCCTACCAGGGTACCTGCTATAGATATTTCGAGATAGGTACAAACTGTCCGATTTGGAAAAGTTTGACTTTAGCCTTGGCAAAATGTATTTAGATACACGTGTAAAATGATCTGGTCATGCATACACTGAAGTTTACTGCATGAAGTTTTTATCTTTATTCAAACATATAAAATTCAGAAGGAATGGGTGCATTGTCAGAAAGAAATGGGAACATTAGTGACTTATAGTGTAACCATAGAGGTTTAGATAAATTTTGTCATTAAACCATATATCACGTGACTAACCATGGGTCCAGGTAGTCCCGTGGGTACCCAGGTCCTACTCAGGACCCGCCCGACCCAAGTACCCGAGTTACCCGTCCCGGCCTTAAATGTTACATCTTCATTCCCTTCTGCCTCACCTTCAACACAGTCTGCCTCAGATCAGTTTATTGTCTTCCATTACCTGCACACCAAGAACATTGTGAAATGTTGCCTTTTTCTTTACTTGATTAAGAGATCATATATCGGTGTATGGTTTTAGCTTGATGCAATAAACCTGAAAACTTAGTCCAACTAAACATTAATCAGAAGGTCATGTACTGAGATATTAAGAAGCTCATAAAGAGAAAATAAAATAACCATTAATGCCCGTGTTCCTACCTCACATTGTTGATAGATTTGGATGAAAATCTTTAAATAATCAATTGTGGCATAAATAGTTCCAGATCCTCTGCTTGTTAGCACCATGACTC